ATTTTTTATTTGGATTAAGACAACCCAATACAGAATGCAATATATCAGAGGGAGCTAGTCTGACTTTATCTCGCTGTCACAGGACACAAAGTAAGCAGAAAAGTATCATTTGTGGAAAAGCAGGGAACACAAGTCCTTAATTCCTTACTCTTCTATTGTATTAATTCAAATATACTTCTGTGGCTTTTTAAATTTTGGAATCCATTAACTTGGAAGAATCTAGCTTAATCAGAATTTATTTAACATTTTCTTCATATGTCCATTAAAAATACATTTAAATTAAAACACAGTCCAAGTCACTACTTGCAATTACCATCTGCCACTTAGACTAAGACTCTTAGGCTTCATTTTTAATCACTGAAAAAGCTGTGATATTTTTAATAGTACCTGAATTTATGCATTAAAAGATGCAATCCTGAAACCAGCATTATTTTCTGTCTTTTCACATGCAAAATGTGCATAGTAGTAATTAGCTGACCACACAATTTATAACTGATTTGGCTCAGTGTCTTCACAGAATGTGTCCCAGATGTTATTGTAAAGTTTTTATGCACGTACAAAAAAATAAAAATAAAAAACCCTTTATGACACTAATAAATAGTCTAACTTCTAAGACCATACACAAGATTTCAATTTTTCATAAACATTTGAACTAATTTAGTAAACATTTAGAAAACTTTATACTGTGCTATAGATTTTAAATGTGACAGCTGACAACATAAATTTTCTGGATGATGATGGAGTCAATGTTAGTGCAGCTGTAGCAACAGTAAGATACGCAAAAGCTTAAAGTTTAGTTTCAACTCTTTGAGTGTATTTTTCATAAGATTCAAGGATTGTCCATGACTTATGCTCACTACATAAATTCTAAATTGCCAGTAAAAATAGGAAATAAAATTTGAACCCCTTAAAATTATTTTTGGAAGTATTTTTCAACTGCACAAATAAGGAGTTAAGGCAAGGCACTAAATTATCCATTTCCCTCAAATAAATAACACTTTAAACAATAATAGTGCTTTAGAAAGGAAACAACCTCTGTACTGAAACTAATATAAATACAATTTATGCATATTAATATTTTTATTACCTAAGTAATTCAAGCAAAATATTTAGCCTACAAAATTTATTTTAGAAGCCAAAATGTGTAGTCCTGGGAGCTTGCTTGAGCAAAGGCTGCAGGTTTTGGCCGTGGTTCTTTAGAAGTAGCTATTTTCTGAAAGGGTGATCAAAACATTGCTTCTCAGTGCACAGAGTGCACATCTTTGTCTATATATATAATCCATAGCTTCATTTTCTATTAGCCTCTAGCACAAAGCCTGTTAATACATCTATTACACCTATTGTAATTTATATAAATTAGACAGTGCTAATCCTTAGCCTATGCACAGGTAGGATGGGATTCATCTGCTCTAACTTCTGATATCAAAGACACTCATCTACAGCCCATACCTTAGATAGGCCACCACAGGATGACAAGCAAGCACCCAAGCTCCATTGTAGCCAAAAGGATGGATCATGCAAAGAGTGGTTCATCCTCTCCTAAGGCAGGCACTTTAAAAAGCACATATGATAAATCTAGGAAATAGCCTGAAGGCTGCCTATTTCCCTCTAGAAACCACAAACAGATTTTGGATAACAAGCTCAGACTTGTGTGGTCATGTTCAGGTTTCCCTCATGTTACAACAGTTGTAACAATAGATAATTATTTTCAGTAAATAGAAGCCACACAAGAAAACAAAATCTGAACCTAACCTTCTCCTTGAAATTAAATAAGAACCAGTCACATCATAAGCACTAATTCTAAATACTGTCAACAGATGAATTATGTAACATGCCATCCTCGTTTCCAAAATGCTGGGTTTGAAGTCTTTCAATGGAAACTCCCAAATTTCAATATCTGAAACTGTTAGTTTCTGCCCCAGGTTGACTTCTCTATGTGATACTTAGAGGTCAGGAAATAAAGCATAAAGAACAACTTGCCTCAAAGCCTTGACTGTCTCAGCAGTTAAGAGAATTCTGCATAGAATTGCGATACAAAAATACTATTTATTTTCTCTCTCACTAGAAGTGGCTTCTTTATGGGTATTTTTTTAATTTTTTAACTAATTAAAAGTTTTAAGTACGCTTTCTAGAGCTTTGTTCAACTGCTAAGAGATCTATCATTTCTTTGTTCTTCTGAATTTTGCATTTTTATGTTCATGTTCCTGCTATTATTTTTATGGTCTTCAGAATTCTACTCAACAACAGACAGTACATGGGAGCTTCAGAGAAAGTACTGAGGTAGGCGGGCACTAAACAATCCTTTTTTATTACTATTTCTGAGCAATCATTCTGTCTCAATGCTTTCAGTGCTTCCTCTAACTCTGCAACCCATGAGATGTGCATCTGAATGACTACGAGCATGTAGGAATAAGAGTCAGTGTATCACACGTTTGGTAATTATTCTCCTAAAACATATTTGTCTAGAGTCTGATCCATAGCAGCATTTTATTTCTCATTACTTACTGTTTTGGCTCCTCAAAAATCTCCCTGGGAGGGATTACTTTTAAGTGCACTCAATACACAAATTTTTAATGTTTAACCGCTTAACTGTGTTAACCAGTTGTCTTTTCTCCTCTAACTTATTAGCATCCTCAAAACTTTTAGTATTTTCATATACTGAAACCCATGTTCAATGGATGGTTTAGATACTCAGAAGTATTACCTCAGCTAGGTTTTTTTTCTTACAAAATAAGGCTCCACATTCTGCAATTTAGATCTCAGCAGATTTTTAGCAGATCAGCTACTTTGAGCTATATTAGATCCCTCTGGACAAATACCAGGCAGTTCTCTCCTAAAATTTTTTATTTTGTAGTGGTGTAATGTTAACCCACCATCTTATCTCCTGATGTCTCAAACTCTTAATATGCACTGGATAAATTAGTTCCCAAGCTAATATCCTGTGATGAAGATAGCTGTGACATGAATGTAAATATAGTTCTCTGCAATGAATGAATCCTCTCTAACTGGATTCTTTACTCAGCTATAGTCCCACATGATTCTGTCAATGGCTTCCTACTTCTGAATGATTTACTTTTCCTAGACGGGTAAGCCTGCGGAAGAAAGCTGTAGCTGGAGTAAACTTCCATCATTTTCATTCACGACTTTGAATCTGTTCACTTTGTAGCATATCTGATATTAAGTAGTCCACTGTTAAAGCACTTTGTAACATGGCACAGCAGGCTGCCACCTTCTTAAACACCTGAAAACCAGTGCACAGAAAATAACATTTTAAACTTCAGCATCAATCGAGAGTACACCATGGGGGCTTCTTCACCTGCAGATTACATCTTCTTGACCAGCTGCAAGCATTTGTTGACACCTATAGTTACCCAGGCACATATACAATGCACAAGCTTTGAGAACTCCCTCAATGGTTGGTTGTCACTGTTACGCGCCATTTGGTTGAATTTTGTTAGTGAAATACAGGAATATGAAACTGGAAATATTACTTGACATGCCATGGCATCTTAGAGAACCAGAAAACAAGAGTTTAGTGTAAAACTGTTCATCAGTGCTTGAGGTCTGTTGCTATACACATACTCTCTTTTCTGAGTTGACTGCCTACTCCCCTATCCACACCTAGCCAGGACCTAAAATTCAAGAATCCCTGAGCTTAATCCTCCTGCAGAACTCAAATTGCTAGTTATGTTCTCAGCTCACAGTTTAGTTTCAGAAAAATGTGGCAAACAGTGGTGGCAAAGACCTGTTAAACAACAGATCTCTTATAAGTGAAGTTGCTCAGGAAGACAAATCCTGACTCCACTTGACAGATGAGCAGCTAAGTAGAGCATTTAAACTCCAGTACAAGTTATTGTTTCTTAATACAGTGAAAGTCCTTACTTCTCTATTGAGCAGTTTTCCATCTGAAATACATAACCAGGCTAGGGAAAAAGCACCCAAGTATTTATGACCTATCCTTGGTTGGATGTGTGCACATCAAAATCCCTGGGCTGGACGGGATGACCTTCAGAGGTCCCTCTCAACCTGTGCCACTCTGTTATTCTGTGATCCTCTGACACTGAGGCATAACAAGAAGTCAGACCTCCCTTTCTCAAGGCAAATGCTCAAACTACCACATTATTGTGCAAAAGTGAGCAGAACCATTACCTCATCATTATTGCTGGAGGAGAGGTTCCAGTATTTATTCCCAGAGAGGTTTTCAAGCATTTAGTCTCTGAGGCATCTAACCCTATATAAAAGTCCAACTATCTTCTGAGTATGATGAAGCTTGCATTACTAGTGATACTCAAGCAATCTCACTGTTGAGGTTCTCCTTGACCCTGTGTAAGCCTTTCTGCATTAACAAGAACTCTCACAAATAATCTTAGGTAAGTAACTCTATGTAATGCAAAAGAAAATGGAAATGGAAAAGACTGTTCAAGGGAAAGTACCATTCAGGATTATTTCAATTATTTCAAGTTTAAAAGAAGGTACTCTGAAGAAAGATAAATATTGGGCAACTCCAGAGTTTCACGCATTCCAAATGCTTCAACAGCTGGAGTGTTCAGAATAACTTGTACTGAGAATAGTTTTCTTGGTAGTAAATTCGTTCTGTGGCTTTTATACATTGATTCTACAGTGTATTAATACTACAATAAAGTAAAAGAATGTAGGGTATTTTTAAGGTGCAGGCAACAGTGTTATGATTTCTCAGCATCACAAAAATTTTATTCTGTCATCTGTGATGATAAAAATACATGTGTATAATAATATGGGTACATTTATACATACAGCTGTTTCTTAGTTTCTAAAGAAAACCAGTCACCATAAGTAGTTACAAAACATCGAGCAAAATTACTAAATATATTCAATCTTTAAAAAAAAATAAAATCACAAAAAATACTATTATTTTGATTTATCTAAAATGTAAAAATTTAGTATTACACTTTTCTACTGGTACAAAAAACAACCCATCACAGCAACTCAAATAACTGTTACTTAAGAATCTTTATATTTACCCACGCACTGGAATATTCATATGCCTTGCAGACTTAACAACTTCTTCAAATTTTTCTATGCTTTCGTCAATTGAACAATTAATATTCATTTTGCTAAAAGCTTCAGATGCTGCACCGAATACTGAGACTTCTGTAGCCCCTGCTGCAATCTGAAAAATACATTTCAATAAGACAGAAACATAACACTATATAAAAAGATATTAAGCATTTTGTTTTGTACAAGAATGTTAAAGTACATTTCAAGTGTATCATCCATATCTAACATAAAAGTTCCATTTCCATTTTTTTAAAATCTATTGCATACAAGTAGATTGAATCAAATTTTGAGTTCATTCACTATGCCATATTTCCTTCCTCTTAGCAATTAGGTAAAAATATTTTTAAAGTGATCAATGAGAAAGTTATTAAGATGTAGAAAATCATATGAACTAACTATGAAAGTAACAACAATTGATACTTATATTCATTTTGCAGAAATGGAAAACATCATGTAACAACTGTGAAATATCCATCCTCTGTAGAAAGCCTGTTCTTCATGAATGCCAGGAAGTCATTCTTATGCTCAGGAAAGCTCTGTGCCTGCATACGTCTATGTTGAGCAGCAACAACAACCAACAGGAATTTCCTGGTTAGAGTGAACTCTAGGATCAAGGGCTCCACTGGTCTTGGTGTCACAGGTGACACAGACAATATGGAAAATGTGTAAGTGAGAGTCTGCTGAGAAGAATTCGAAGTGCAAATACCAGTCCAGAAAATGTGTAAATGTGGTGACTTCACCGAAGGGGCAATTAGCTTCAGTTTGCCTTCAGTACCTCAGTACTCAGGAAATCAGCTAACATAAGGCAAACTACAATGTTGAAAGCCAAATGATAGGGCAAGAAAACATTTAAGCTTAGGAGAATAGCTAATTAATTAATCTGTATTCTCCAGCGAGCATAATATTCATGTTCTATGAAAAATAATGGTGCTTTTCCCTTCACTCTCTGCTTCTGCAGCATAATGTCTAAGCTTCAGCAATCTTTACAGGAGCAAATATCCTTTCAAATAGAGGGAAGAAAAGAAAAATAGCAGCAAGCAAGAACTCAGCAATCCCCTACAACTATCTGTGCATTGTTTTCCTTCCGTTGTACCACTAGATATGGAATACAGATATAGCAGATTTAATTCAAGTCACAAAAGCTACCATTGCAGTCAAATTTGTGGCAATATAAATCTGACTACTGATAGTTAACTCATCTACATACAAGACTCCGTTTTACCAGTTTTCATATTCAGTATAGGAACTGAATGATAGACTACACCACAAATGTCCATCAAGCAGTGTGCTTTCCAAATATGTCTTGTCCTAATCAAGACAAAAGCACAGAAGCATGAAAAATTTTGAGAAAACAAAAAACTGTAAAGATTTGACTGTTAATGTGTATGCTTTAAGAAAAATAAACTGCTCCGTTTTCTCAATTCCAAACATGGAGTCTATAGTTTTGAATATTTATTTTGTATGAACTGAAATAATTTAAGCTTTCAAAAATTATCGAATATAAAAAGCAGAACTTAAGAAATCTTATACACTTCTATAAAGTATTTTCATTTAAGGGACTATTTCCTCATTCTTCCTCGCTACTTAAGAGTAGCTGTCAATGGCTCC